ATGTTTAAGGGACAGCTTGGTTTACATAGAGGCCTTTCTTATTGATTTCTTTGCATAATGTCGTGTCCACTGTGTGCATGAGTCCTACTTACAGGTCCTCAGAGTAAAATAGAAATTATCTCGTCCCTGGATTTGACTGTCATGAGCAGTAATGCTTTCGTTAAGCTCTTACATTTTGAACACAATTATCCCAACGCTCACATCAGGATTATCACACCCATGGCAAACAAAGCCCTTTGGTCACACAGCACTAATGGGATATTTCATTTGTACAGAAATTAAAACACTACGCTTAGTTCTCCGCCGGTTACACAAATCTGACAGCTCGACGGCGTTGTGGTGTAGGGAGCAGTTAGTGGCGCACAGTCAAAGTGTTTTGGGATCCATCCATTTTCTCCTGCTTGTCCGGGTTTGGGTCATGGTGGCTAATCAGGGCATTCCAGACGTCCCTTTCTCTGGCAATCTCTTCCTCCTGGAGGATCTCGAGGTGTTTCCAGGCTAAATGAGATATGTCATGACTCCAGCGAGTTCTGGGTCTACCCCTGGGGTCTCCTCCCACAGAAAGGTGCTCTGGAGGCATCCTAATAAGATGCCAGAACCACCACAGTTGGTTCCTTACAACACAAAGGAGCAGCGGCTCTAATCCGAGCTCCCTCCGGATGTTCAAGCTCCTTGTCCTCTCTCTAAGGCTAAGTTCAGCCACCTGATGGAGAATTGTCATGCTTTCGGTCATTGCCCAGAGCTCATGATCATTAATGAGGGTTAGAATGAAGACCAACTGGTAAATCGAGAGCTTCGTCTTCTGGCTCAGCTCTTTCTTCACGATGATGGTGCAACATTTGTATTACTGCTGATGCTGTGCACCCTCACGAAGAGGTGCAGGGCAGCAGGCAAACGTGGACTGGCACGGTGTTGCAGTGGCTACCACTCAGATCTTTGCTGCTGAGGTTAACTGGTGGTTCTAAATTGTCCTTAGGTGTGAATGTGCTTGGTGTTCAGTTTCTTTGTGTTGGCCCTGCAATCATGTACCCATAGTGTATCCATAGGAAAAGGATGGCTGGAAGACGACATATGAATATTAGCTAGGTCAGGTAACTGGATGCAGTTTGCTTTCGGTGGTGACAAATGTGTATTAGAGCTCTTGGTGAGAGTGAGTTAGATTGAAACTTTGCATGGCTTCGTTGGAAACTTGGATCCTTCTCTGACTTCACCCTCATTCCTTCTGCTTCGTTAGGACAGCATTACTGCATTTGTCACAGCTGGCATAAATAAGCAGCTAAATTATGCTGCATCATCCCTCAGCCTGCCAGCTGAGGGATGTGCCAAGGTTACTTTCTGCTCTGACAGACTGGAGAAAGCAGAAGATGCCACTGATGTGTATAAATACCCTCGTGAGTTACATTGCCAAGGTCTTCCCATTGACACCAATGTCCTTTTGGAGTTTTGGAACTTGGGTTTGGGTTGCCTTAAACGTAGGCCACAGGTTCCTGCAGTGGAGACAGACGGGGCGTTGGTTGCCCACTCCTCAGCTAAATGAACTTAAGGTCTCAGCTACTTTATGCAAAAAAGGAACAACAAACAGGTGTCCAACTTCTTACAAACCCGTGAACTAACTGTCTAAAATCAGGACAGATTCAACAACTGCATGGCTTATGTTCCACCTCAAGTGTTTTCAGAAACACATTTCCCTGAACTTGTAATTGAAGATGAAGTTTCTTTAGAAAACCCGTTTGAAATCCAGTAGCAGGGAACGTCCAAGTGAAGTGTTGTCTAATCAGAGGGCTGAATCCTGCATTGATTGCTGTTGAAGAGCAACTGTCAGTCATCTCTTGTGCTCTACTGAGTCGTACGCCCATCAAGTGTCTGGTGTTGGGAAGCAGCGCGACCTCTGCAGCGTAAGAAAGCCCCTGTGGACACCTACCATTACAGTTTTAAATGAGACATGGAATAAAGAGATTTTCATGCAGTCTTTGCTTTCGTTAGCTTTTCCGAATATAGGGGCATTATTGTAGCAAAACTATTTGTCCATGCGTATGGAGAGTTGTCTGTCTGTATCTCAGTCCGTTCGTCCGAAGTGAGATTTGTCAGTGTGTTAAAGAAGTTGTCAATGCGACCCGGAATTTGTCTGTCTGTAATTAGGTATTTAAATGTGTAAAAAATCTGCTCATCTGTCTTCAAATTTGTACATGTAGTAAGAGTTGTCAGTGTGTGCAAAAGGTTGTCAATGCGTACAAAGGTATTAGAAGTTAAAAAAATCCATGTATTCGAATACAAATGCCCAAAATACAGACAAATCACCAGCTATGAGTCGAGCGGCTTCACCATTGGCTGTCTTTTTACACATGACTTCTGCTACACTTCTGCCGTGAGAGAATCTGAAACTTAAGAGTATCTGAAAATCAGGATTTTTGTGTCCTGAGCTCAGGCTCATAGGATCGTCCATTGTGGCTGCTACCGGTCTGCTGCTCTGTACCTCAGTAGTGATCAGGCAGCGCTGTGCATCAGAGTCTTTGAGCGTACGCCACACAACGAAAGAATTCCAACAGGTATATGTGAACAAGCAAAGTCTTTAACGCTCGTGCTACTTCATGAAAGTTTTTGCTCAGCGACCCATGAACTCAGCAGATGTAACTTGTTCACTTATACCTGTAATATTATATTTTTAGAAGGCTCAACAATTTCCTCATTAATTATAAAAACTGCAAAAAACACTAACATGAACTCACTGTGTGCGGTCGGGATTCCATCGTTTTCTGTCACAATGTCACATGTGCTCTGATGCACAGCACTGCCTGATAACTACTGAGGTACAGAGCAGCAGACCGGTAGCAGCCACAGTGGACGATCCTATGAGCCTGAGCTCAGGACACAAAAACCCTGATCTTCAGATACTCTTAAGTTTCAGATTCTCTCACGGCAGAGGTGTAGCAGAAGTCATGTGTAAAAAGACAGTCAATAGTGAAGCCACTAGACTCATAACTGGTGATTTGTCTGTATTTTCAGCATTTGTATTCGAATTCGTAGATTTTTCAACTTCTAATACCTTTATAGGCACTGACAACTCCTTGTACGTATTGACAACTACATGTACAAACTTTAAGACAGATGAGCAGTTTTTTTT